GCTAGTTCTAAGGTGAACAGATTCCTTTAGTTGGATCCTCCGGTGTTCGCGGCTACTAATCCCGAGGAGGACCCACAGGAATTTATTGATGAGATACACAAGACCCTCTGAGTTATGTGTTCTAAGAAGACAGAGGGAGTGTAGTTGGCATCCTACCACCTGAAAGAGGTGGCCTAATCTTGGTTTGAGATGTGGGAGGAGTTCCGTAAGGAGGGGAGCCCTCCAACGAGGTGGAGTAAGTTTGCTAATGTCTTTATCGATCATTTCTTGCCTACTAAGACTAAGACAGCCCGTGGCGCCGAGTTTGAGAGTCTGAAACAAGTATCATGAGTGTGTGGGAGTATCATATGAGGTTTGCACGCTTGTCTAAGTATGCCATCTATATGTTTCCCACTATAGAGGCTAGAGTTCACCGATTTGTGCAGGGCCTTAGCCCCTTGGTTATTAAAGAGGCCGCTACAGCTGCTTTGAATTCTGATATGAACTATGGTAAGATGGTGACATTTGCTCAAGCCACAGAGGCCTGTAAATTGAAGAATAGAATGGAGCAAGAGGGTACTGATAAGGCCTGGTCCGCGGGCTATTTTGGTTGTTCTTCTGGTGGTGGTGGTGGTGGTAGTGGTAGGTCAGCATTTAGGGGAGGCTCATCAGGTCCATCCCAGTCCTCTGCTCAGTTTTCGGTTAGTACATAGCCATCAGGGCCCAGTCAGCAACAGTGGAGTCGTTTAAGGCCCAGCTAGGGCAACCAGGGATCCTACCGGCACGGTCGGCCTGGTGGGAGATTTCAGCTGTAGTGGAGGCCCCCATGCCCTTGGTGTGGGAAGATGCACTTTGGGACCTGCTTCATGGACCAACCCATATTCCATGGGTGTGATATCAAGGGTTGCATTCAAAGTAATTACCGTTTGTCCCACCAAAGTGTGGGCAGGGGTAGGCATAGCCAGCCAGTTCTATAGCTACTACATCCACAATACCTCCTCCAGCACGAGGCACTCCAGCACCCGCATGGCATGGTGCAGCTAGGGGTGGTGCACAGTGTTCGGGAGGACCAAGCCGTTTCTATTCTATGAGGGGTCGCCAGAGTTCAGAGGCTTCTCCGAATGTTGTCACAAGTATATTGACTGTCCAATCTTTTGAGGTATATGCTCTCATTAATCTCGATTCCACATTATCATATATCACTGCTTATATTTCTATGGAATATGGGATAGAACCGGAACAACTTTATGAGTCGTTCTCTGTATCTACTACGGATGATCAATAAGGGTATGTTAGAGAAGGGTTTCATCCGATCAAGTGTGTCGCCTTAGGGCGCAACGGTTCTCTCTATAAGGAAGAAAGATGGGTCACTGAGAATGTGTATTGACTATCGGCAGCTCAACAAGGTCACAATCAAGAATAAGTACCCACTGCCAAGGATAGACAACCTGTTTGACCAATTACAAGGTGCTAAGTACTTCTCCAAGATTGATTTAAGATCCGGGTATCACCAATTGAAGAGTAGGAGCAGGATATTCCGAAAACCACTTTAAGAACCCGATATGGGCACTTTGAATTTCTTGTAATGTCTTTTAGGCTAACAAATGCCCCGACAGCTTTCATGTATCCTATGGATCGAGTCTTTAAGCCTTTTCTTGACTTATTCATGATAGTGTTCATTGACGATATTCTTGTGTATTCACGAAGTCGAGAGGACCATGTTGATCATCTCAAGGAGGTTCTGCATGCAGACTCTGTATCAGCACTAGTTGTAAGCGAAGTTTCTGAAATGTTAATTTTGTCTTGAACACATTCTTAGGTCATATCGTCTCCAGAGAAGGAATTAAGGTTGATCCTTAGAAGATTGCAGCTGTGAAGAATTGGCCTAGACCGAGAACCCCAATAGATGCACCATTTCTTAGGTTTATCTAGGTATTACAGGAAATTTGTGGAGGCGTTCTCTATACTTGCCTCACCGTTGACTAAATTGACGCAAAAGTCGGTTAAGTTCCAATGGCCAGATGCTTGTGAAAGGATCTTCCAGGTGTTGAAATCAAGATTGACTACGGCACCGGTATTGACCCCACCAGAGTGTACAGATGGATTTGTGGTATATTGTGATGCTTCAAGGATCAGACTTGGGTTTGTATTAATGCAGCATGGTAAGGTGATAGTTTATGCTTCTAGGAAGCTCAAGAATCATGAGAAGACACCACATCACTTGGCGCTTGCGGCGGTGATCTTTGCATTGATGATTTGACGACATTATTTGTATAGGGTCCATGTCGATATATTCACAGACCATAAGAGCCTTCAAGATATTGTCAAGCAGGAGGAATTGAATCTGAGGGAAAGAAAATGGCATGAGCTACTCAAAGATTACGACATCGATATCCTATATCATCCGGGGAAGGATAATGTACTGCGGATTCTCTTAGCCGGAAATCTATAGGCATTTGGCTCACTTGGAGGCATATCAAAGGACGTTGGCCAAGGAGGTTCATTGGTTAGCTATTTTGTGAGTACATCTTGCGGACTCTAGTGAAGGAGGGGTGATTGTGCAAAATAAGGCTTAATCATTGCTTGTTGTGGAGGTCAAGGAGAAGCAATACAACGATCCATTGTTAGTAAGGAGGGGATTCATAAATATAAGACCATGGCTTTTTCTCTTGGCATGGATGATGGTACACTAAGGTGTCAAGGGCGGCTACGTGTTCCAAATGTAGATGGTCTTCGAGGAAGAATCATGACCGAGGCTCACACTTCTAGATATTATGTGCACCCAGGCTCTACAAATATGTACCATGATATTAAGAAAGTCTACTGGCTGAACGATATGAAGAGAAATGTAGCGGACTTTGTGGGAAGATGTCCAAATTGTCACCAAGTGAAGGCCGAACACCAAAGACCTGGTAGGTTGGCACATAACATAGAAATTCCAATTTGGAAGTGGGAGATGATCAATATGGACTTTGTGGTAGGGTAACTTCGCAGTCCTTGCAAGTTCGACTTGAATTTGTTATTGTGGATCGATTCACAAAATAAACACACTTCTTACCTATTAAGGCTACCGACACAATAGAACAGTATACTCACTTGTATATCAAGGAAAAATTCAGGTTGCATGACACTCCAATTTGTATCATTTCTGATTGGGGGGCACAGTTCACAACTAACTTTTGGAAGAAATTTCTGCAAGGTTTGGGTACTCAGGTGAATCTTAGTACAACCTTCCATCCACAGACCGACGGGCAAGCAGAGCTATTCAGACGCTTGAGGAAATGTTGCGCACCTGTGTTCTTGACTTCAAAGGTAGCTAGGATGATCAATTGCCGCTCATAGAATTTGCCTACTGTCACGCCCAAAATGAGGAGCGCGACCGGCGCTCAATCGGGTGAACCCAGCTAAGCAAGCCTATTTGATTATTTCTACCCAAGTCGCTCATGCATTGAGAGAAAACACATTTCATTAATTAGATATTAAGGAGATCATAAATACGATTCCAAGTCATCTTCCTTAGCTACTTCATTATTTAATGTCTCAAAATACACACTATTTCAAAGTATGAAGTGGAATAAATGATCCAAACAAAACATGGTTCGTTTGACTTTCCCAGCACCCATATACATATAACCCATGCTATGTCTACAGATCCTTTAAATGGATACAAAAGAGTACTACAAAAGTGCCGACAACAAGGCCCCGGCTATACCTCAAGTACAATACAGAAGGAACCAAAAGATGTATGACCCCGAAATAAAATGGGGCTCACCAAGACTGCTGGGAGGAGGATGTACGGGAACACATATTGCACATATATCTTTCAAAGAAAGCACATTCGGAATAGCAATTTCTATAACGATCAATTTGGGACTTATATCAATTGCATGAACACCATGGGGTTCAATTCTAAGAAGAAGGGTTTTTAGCCACACATACCTCAATAGAGTTTCCTTAAATTCAACTATATTCTGTAACTCTTAGCAACGTCAATATATTTTAGGAATATAACAAGTTGAACCAAAAATTAGAAAGATGATCATGATTCTAGCTAATTTGAGCACATTATCAAACACTAGGTGTGCATTACGTTTTTAAGACCCTTTTGTGAAAGATTCCATCATCCCACACCCCGTTCTTTATCATTTTTAGCTCACAACCCTCCTACATTCTTTCATCACACATGCATGTAAGATAACACCTCTCTTACCCAAGGATGGTCTTGCTAATTACCCATTTTTAGTAGAATTTTGAAATTAAGAGTTAGGGCATAGATTTTTACCTTTAAGGTGAAGACTCAGTGAATTTCCTTGTTAATCTTCAATGATTTGAGCAAGAATTGATGGATAATAGGTTGAAGAACACTTCCCCACTCTAAGCACTCTCTCACTCCAAAAGTATCAGATTTTACAAGAAAAATGGTCCAAAATGCTTATATAATGAGATTGAGTCGGGTTATAAAAACCCCAGAATGAAGTCCCGGAACAGGATCTACGGTCGCATATATGACCGCATAATGCTTATCCGGTCAGAATGTGGGCCGCATAATTGGTCCTCCGAATCAGACATTTTCTGCTTCAGTTTTTGACCAGTATGCGGTCTGCAGATCTATTTTGCAGTCGCATAATACGCCGTAGAACTATCATCTAAAAAATCTCAAGGTTGGGTATGCGATTGGAGAGCGGCCCGCAAAATGGTCCGGTCCTATAACGCGCTGCAAAAATGACATAAAAAATGGCCAAAAAGACTGCCTCACTTTGCGGCCATTCTGCAACCCGCAGAGTAATTATGCGGCCGCATAATGAGCCGTAGAAATGCACACTTCTGCAAAACATTTTCCTTTAACTCCTTAGTGTATTTTTTAACCCAAAAAGTCTGTACTGCGACGAGCTTGCTCGCCGTGAATAATATCAACAATCTTTAACTCATAAGCCTGACTCGGCACCACGAAATTTCTGGGTTTTAGGTAAAATTTTATGGGGCCTTAGACCTACAACAAAAGTTATCATGCTAGCATTTAGATGGCGCCTTTTGAGGCTTTATATGGTAGGAGATGTAGATCTCACATTGGGTGGTTTGAAATTGGGAAAGCAGAATTAATAGGACCAGACTTCGTGCATCAGGCTATTGAGAAGGTTAGGGTCATTAAGGAGCGGCTGAAAACTGCCCAGGGTCGTCAGAAGTCCTATTCGAATGTGAGTTTTATATTTGAAGAGGATTATTGGGTATTCTTGAAGTTTTCCCCCGTGAAGGGTATAATGCGGTTTTGGAAGAAAGGGAAATTGAGTCCGAGGTATGTCGGACCGTACAGAATTATTCAGAGGATTGGTCAACTGGCTTACAGGCTAGAATTGCCTCCAGAAATGTCGTTAGTGCATGCAGTTTTAGGTTTTAGTTTAAGTGATGAAAAATAATATATTTTCTTTTGGTATAGGGACTCAAGGGATCGAAGTGCATAAAGAGAAATAATCAAAGCTGAAGGGAGAAATCAATCAAAGATTGGTTGAAGCATCTAAAAGCAAAAGAAGCATATTGATTGAAGTATCTAAAAGGAAAAGAAGCGCTGCCAATCTGGCGAGAAAATCAATCAAAGATTGCCGGAAGAGTTAAAAAGGAAATGAAGCATTGAAGATGGAAAGACCCTGATTCAAAGAGCAAACTCGGCGCTATCAAGACTTGAAGATGGAAAGCTGTCATTAACCTTATTCTTGGAAAGAATCAATCTCTTTCCAAGGATCAAATCTCTTGGGCTGGAAAATCTCTTCAGTAACAGTCACATACTGAGTATTTATACTCAACCTTAGAACTTAGAGATTATACTTTGATCGAACCAATTACCCTCTCTTTGTTCTACTGCAAACAAACATTGTAGCTCTTCTAGATGTGCTGTGTAACAAGTTAGAGAAGAAAGAGAGAAAAACACTGGTGAGGCATTGTATCAAGAAAAGATGAGTGACATAGAAACTGAGCAGTTGGTGTAAACTACACCATTCACTTTGTACTCAAAAAACTCAATCACTAAAATAGAACTCCCTTACAATCCAAGGGGATTGGACTAGGATTTATATTTAATCCGAACTAGTATCAAAACTCCGGTGTCTTTAATTCCTGCACTTTACTTCTGCATTTTACTTCTGCGTTCATTAATACCTCGTCATTACATCTAGTCGACTAATTGGAAAACTAGTCAACTTATAATAATTAATTTTTAAAATAAACAATTCACCCTCTTGTACTTTCAATTGGTATCCGAGCAACGCTTACATTTTTTCTTTTGCTTAACAGCTTGTGAGAAAAGATCATGGAAAATCAAATTATTATCGGAGCACTCTTCCAAGAAGGAACATTGCAAGTGAGGCCATCGTATTTCAATGGACAAAATTTCTCTCACCAGAAAGTGCGTATGGAAATATACACAAAGGCCTATGATGTCAAAGTCTGGAGAGTTATCAAAAAGCGGAACTACCCTCTGCCGGCCGCCGCTCAACCACCTGTTGATCCTGAAGACATAGATGAATATACAGATGAGCAAATGCCAGTTGTGCAAGTTATCGATAAGGAAAGGAATCTGCTTTATAATGCTATAAGTGGTGAGGAATATGATAAAATCTCCTGTTGCGATACATCCAAAGATATGTGGGATAAACTTGAATTTACGTATGAAGGAACCGATAAAGTGAAAGAAACTCATATCAACATGTTGGTTCATGATTATGAACTCTTCCAAATGAAATATGAAGAATCTATTGAGGAGATGTTTGCCAGATATAGCAAAAGCATTAGCGATCTAAAAGCTTTTAGCAAACCATACTCAAGTGGCGATCAAGTTAGGAAAATTCTTAGAAGTCTATCCACTACTTGGCAAACAAAAGTGGTTACACTTGAATCGCAGGATTTGAACAAACTATCATACGATGAATTTCGAGGAGAACTCATAGCTTTCGAGAAAACTCATATCAAGAAAACAAACCAGGAAGAAAAGAAGAAAATAGTTGCATTCAAGGCCACAATTGAAAAAGCAGAAAATGATTTTGATGATGACGCTGAAGCTCTTCAAGAAGAAATTTTCATGGTGTCAAGGAATAAGGATGGTTTAATGAAGAGATACATGAATGAAAGAAGAGGAAGGATACTACCCAGGCGAACCAAGCAATATAACGAACAAGACAAAAATGATGGAAAATGCTATGAGTGTGGAAGATTCGGGCATGCTCAAGCTGAATGTTCCGATCTTCAAAGAAAAGTTTCTAGAGGCTTCAACAAGAACAAATCATTTAGAAGCTGGAGTGATGAAGACAGTTCAGAACACGAAGAGATAGCAAATCTTTTCTTCATGATAATTCTGGAAAATGACATGAACAAACTCTCAAGGTGCTGGACAGATGAGGACACTTCAGACGATGAATGCAAAGATGAAAATGAGAATTGTTTTATGGGACGAGGTGAAACAAGCGAGGTAAGATCTTATAACTATGAATGGTGTAGTGAATTGCAGGATATTCTTGACCTTACTTTGAAAGAGTCTCAAAAAAAGATGAATGAACTAAAAAGACTCAACAAAGAAGTAAAAGACTGGAAACTCAAGCTTGAAGTATGTGAAATTGAAAAAGAAGTACTTCAAGAAGAGTTTGAGGAATTGCAAATGGAACTCAATAGCATGTGCAAATCCACCATTCATAGTTCTGTCAGGTCTAACCAGGCGACTTACAAGTCAACTAGAGAAGGACCAGCCAGAATAGAGTCCACTAGTACTAACACTAATGACAGATCCAAAAATGGATAAAGAATTACGTGTCACTACTGTAACAAAAGTGGACATAAATATTCCTTTTGTCGATTTCGTAAATCAAATAGATTTGGAAACCCAAAAACAATCCTGAGTTGAGTAATACTAACCAACCAGGACCCAAGCAAGCTTGGGTACCTAAAAGAAAGTAATAACTATGTTTTGGAGGAACACCATAGAACAGTCGCAAAGGAAAATGGTACTTAAATAGTGTGTGTTCCAATCACATGACAGGTGACAAAAACCTACAAAAATAGACGGAGGAAGTGTCAAGCTTGGTGATGACTCAAAAGGAAAAATAGTCGGTACCGGAACAGTTCCTTTTAATAATAATTGTGATATCACTAAGGTTTATCTTGTTGACGGACTTAAATACAATCTTTTGAGTATAAGTCAGCTATGCGACTCAGGGTATGAAGTAAAGTTCAAGAAAACAGGTTGTGCTATGGAAGATGAGACAGGTAAAATAATCCTCCCATGTAAAAGGTATGGAAATGTTTATATTCTTGATGGCTTTGAAAAAATAATGGCCATATCTGTTTAACATCCATATCTCATGATCCATGGTTATGGCATAAGAAACTTGGTCATGTAAGCATGCATTTGATAGAAAAACTTTCCAAGCATGATTTAGTTATTGGTTAGCCTAAACTCAATTTCTCTAGAAATCATATATGTGATGCATGTCAAATTGGAAAACAAACTAGAAACTCTTTCAAAAACAAAGATATTGTATCTACTTCAAAGCCGTTGCAATTGCTTCTAATGGACTTATTTCGACCTACTAGAGCTGCTAGAATAAGAAAGAAATGATATGCTTTTGTTATTGTTGATGATTACTCATGTTTTACTTGGGTGATTTTCTTATCTCATAAAGATGAAGCTTTGAAATTTTTTGAGATATTCTATAGGAAGGTTGAAAGAGAAAAGGGGTATCTGATTACAACAATTCAAAGTGATCATGGAGGGTAATTTGAAGATTTCTGTAATGATCAAGGATACACCCACAATTTCTCTGCCCCAAGATCACCCCAACAGAACGGAGTCGTTGAGCGGAAAAATAGGACTTTGCAAGATATGGCAAGAACTATGATACTAGAATATTCGTTGCCAAATCACTTCTGGGCATATGGAGTAAGTACAACATGACACATTCTCAACCGATGTCTCATAAGAACCATTTTGAAGAAGACTCCTTATGAATTGTGGAAAGGTAAATGACCCAATATTAGTTACTTTCATCCGTTTAGAAGCAAGTGTTTCATTCACAATAATGGTAAGGAAAATCTTGGGAAATTCGATTGAAGAAGTGACGAAGGTATTCTTCTGGTTATTCATTAAATAATAGATCCTTTAGAGTTTGTAATAACCGCACACTATGTGTGGAAGATCAGTACATGTTATATTTGATGAGAATAACACTTCGACCGATAAAGGAATTATTGCAGGTCATGAAGATTAGATTTAGGAAACAAGCAAAGCTCAAGGGTCGACTAATAAACATGATATTGTAATGGAGTCAACTACTGAGATTAGCAACAGCGAATCAGAATCTCCAGAGAAGTCAACTCCTCATAAAAGTACAACTCATCAAAATGAATGGAGAAGTGAACCAGAGTATCCTCAAATGTTTATCATAGGAGATCCAAGCGAAGGAATGAAAACTAGGGGAGCTCTCAAAAAGAAAGCAAATATAGCACTGATCTCTCTGATTGAAACAAAGAAAATAGAGGAAACTCTGAAAGATTCAATGTGGTTACAAGCAATGCAGTAAGAGCTAGATCAATTTGACAAAAATCAAGTATAGAAACTGCTGCCTAAGCCTGAAAAAGCTCTTATAATTGGAACCAAATGGGTGTTCAGAAATAAGCTAAATGAGGATGGAAAGTTGTTAGAAACAAGGCCAGATTAGTAGCTCAAGGATACTCACAACAGGAAGGAGTCGTCTACGATGAAACCTTTGCTCCAGTAGCTCGATTGGAATCAATTCAAATTCTTCTTGCATACGCATCCTTTAAAAGATTTAGGCTCTTTCAAATGGATGTCAAAAGTGCCTTTTTAAATGGTTTCATTGAGCTGGAAGTATATTTAAAACAACCTCCTGGTTTTGAAGACTCAAAGTTCCCCTACTACGTTTACAAATTGACCAAAGCACTGTATGGACTGAAACAAGCTCTACGAGCATGGTACGAAAGACTTAGCTCATTTCTTCTTGATCACGGATTTACAAGAGGTAAAGTAGATACTATTCTTTTATTATAAGATCATCAAAAGGTAATCTCATTATTCAAGTTTACGTTGATGATAATATTTTGGTAGTGCTAATCCTCTTTTGTGAAAGGAATTTTAAAATCTTATGCAAAGTGAGTTTGAAATGAGTATGATAGTAGAGATAACGTTCTTTCTTGGACTTCAAATTCAACAATCTGAAGAAGGAACGTTCATATGTCAAACGAAATACATAAAGGAGTTAATCCAGAAGTTCGGTATGAGTAACGCTAAAGCCATTGGCACGCCAATGAGTCCTTCAACAAATCTTGACAAAGATGAACATGGAAAACTTGTTGATGAAACTAAATATCGTAGAATGATTGGTTCTCTTCTTTATCTACTGCCAGTCGACCAGATTTTATGTTTAGTGTTTGTAAATGTGCCATGTTTCAGTTAGCTCCGAAAGAATCTCACCCGACTGCAGTAAAAAGAATATTCAATATCTCATTGGAACTATTTCTCATGGATTATGGTATCCACGTTCTAATATTTTTAATTTAGAAGGTTTTTCAGATGCTGATCTTGCAAGTGATAAGGAAGACAGAAAAAGCACCAGTGGAACATGTCAGTTACTCAGAAAGGCACTGATATCTTGGAACAGTAAAAAGCAACGATCAGTTGTACTATCCACAACTGAGGCTGATTATATTGCCATTGGACAATGTTGTGCACAATTACTATGGATGTCTCATCAATTGGGTGACTATGAATTGTTCTTTAAACCTATTCAATTTTTTTGTGATAACTCTAGTGCTATATGTCTCTCAAAAAATCATGTGCATCACTCTAGAGCAAAGCATATAGATATCAAGCATCATTTCATTAGAGATCATGTTCTAAAAGGAAATATGGAAATATCTTTTGTTGGAAATACTGATCAATTAGCTGATATTTTCACCAAACCCTTACTTGAAGACAGATTTTGCTTTTTAAGAAAGTTACTTGGTATTATTTCCATTGATCATTAATATTAGGACCTATGTGATATTTTTATATTTTGTATGACTAATGTTTAAATTTTGTCCTTTTATAGTCATTAATAGCGCCTCCGAATTCCCTCTTTTTTCCTCTCTTTTCACATCAGTTGCAGCGTTCAAGAAAGGAAAACCAATCATCACTTCTGTCAAACTAACGCCCTTTCATTTCATGTACTCAACCGTCAAAAGCCCTTTCTTTTAATCTTTAAAACCCTTCTTCAATCTCCGTCATTATCATCTCCTAGAAACCCTCTCAAAACTCTCCTCAACCAGTCTCTTCTTCCATGGCTAAACACTCTAAGAATTCCTCTGCCTCCACCAGAAAAAGTACTCGTTCCAGAGAAAAAACCCCTTTCCAGCCTCCAGAACAGGTAGACCTAGGGTCCAATCACTCAAAGGGTTTTGCCTCCTCTCCGGCGGAATTCTCAGATCATTCTCATCCCTTAGGAGAAAAAGCTCTAGGAAAAAGACCTCTAGAGGAACCTCCTATGTCCTTTACTCTAAAGAAATCGAAATTTGATCTCTCAAGCTCTTTAGAGTTTGACTTAAATTTCTGGGATTCTCTTAATAAGGGTTTCTTCATTTCTCTTAAAGACAAGCCAATCTCTCATGGCAGAGTAGTCGACCTTGACGAAATGGAAGCCCTAAACTGTAAGGTAAGAGATTTGTTTGTCTATCAAGGCTGGTCAAAATTCCTCTCTGTTCCCGCTTCTAAAGTCTATGAACCCCTAGTGAAAATGTTTTATGCAAAACTTCACTCTAGTAAGTCTGACAATTTGGAATTCCTAGTGTTAGGAAATCGCATTGTTCTTGATTGTTGCATGTTTGATTCAATCTTCCGGTGTAAGTGTTCTGGTTTACCCATGCTTTTCAAAAATTCTTGTCCTGATGATTTTGAAATCCCCTGATCAAGCCAAACGATGTATTGCTGAATGCCCCTCTTAATCCCTTCCGATCAGTTAGTTCCAAGTGATGTTTGTTTTAAAATTCGTGTCCTAGCCCACATTGTTGCAACTACTCTGCTTCCTCGTATTGGCTCTTTCTCCACCTTCTCCCAAAGGGACACTTTTATTGTCTATTGTCTTGTGACAAAACTCAAGGTCAAATTGTCCTCCTAGGTCATAAATTTATGATTGAAAGTGTTGATGATCCCACCAGTCTGCCCTGTGGCATGGCCATCACTTACATTCTGGAAGCTCACAATATTTCTATCCCAAACTATCCCTTCATCTCTGTTTCAAAATCATAAAATTCTAGGGCGTTTGATAGTATAGGATATGTGTGTGAAGGGCTCCTAGGTTAAGAAATAGGAAGGTGAGGTCAAACATGTTCAGCCTGATCCCAAAACCAAAGCCTCTGTTTCCCATCACAACCTTAGTAATCCTGACCTTGTTGAGAAACTGACTGCCATTGATAACTTGCTGACCACCATCAGAGATCTTCTTGCTGCTACTCAGTCCACTGTTGGGGACATTCATGCAATCACCAAAGAGACAGGGTCTGATGTTTCCAAGATAAGGGTTGTCATTCTTAGACTTAGGGGAAATGCAGTCAAGGCATTCAAGGAAGTACACGACAGGCTTGATGGAGTGACTGTCTCAGCCAATGATAGCTTTGAACAATTGAAGGAGGTGATTTGCAACACTCTTACTTATTTCTTGTGTCGTTAGTGTAGAAGTTTCAGACCATTTTCTTCTGTGCTGTTTTGGGACTGGGTAACCAGTCATTTGACGATTTTTTTTGTTTTGC